CCTAGACCCTTCTTCAGATTTTCTGAAGAAGGGTCTAGGCCCGAAACGTCAGCCTTCCTGCTCCTCTGATGCTGCTTGGCCTACTGTGTTCATCCAGCTCTACCTTGTTATCTCAGATTCTCCAGCATCTGCAGTTCCTACTATCCCTGATCTAGGACTCCCATGTTCCTTTGTGCTTCAGACTTCTGAAGCCTCTCCCCATTTAGAAAATATTCGATGCCTCTCTTCTTCCGATCAAAGCACATAACCTCATGCTTTCCCTCATTGTATTCTAGCTGCCACTTCTTTGCCCCTATCCTTTGCCTGTCCAAGTCCTTCTGCAGCCTCCCTACTTTCTCAACACTACCTCTCCCTTCACATTTCTTTGTGTTATCACTTAGCGACTCAGCAACAATGCCCTCAGTTCCTTTGTCCAGATCGTTAATGTATAATATGAAAAGTTGTGGTCCCAACACTGACCCCTACGGATCTCCTGTAGTTGCTTTCCTGTAAACAACCCCTTTTATCCCTGCTCTCTACCTTCTGCCAGTCAGTCAATCCTCTATCAATAGCACTAACTTCCTCTATGCTATGAGCTCTTGTCTTATTTAGCCTCCTGTGCGCCACGTTGTCAAAGGCCTTGTGAAAATCCAACTAGATCACTGAATGAGGGGATCTAATTCAGACATACTAAAATTCCAACAGGGCTAGACAGACTAGATGCATGGAGGTTATTTTTTCCTCTGGTTGGTGTTTAGCTTGGGGGGGTTGCTATTTCAGGATATTGAGTATGTCATTTAGGACTAAGATGAGGAAACAGTTCTTCTCCCTTTTTGGACCTTTAAAAGCATCAGAGTGTGGAGAGGAAGGGGATATGACTTAGGGAGACAGGATCAGCCGTGACCATATTGAATGGTGGACCATTCAGAGTGCCAAATGGCCTACTCCTATTCCTAGCTTCTGTGTTGAAAAGGGTTCATTTTATTTTCTCTGTCTGTAGGTTAAAAAAAGTCACTATTGTGGAAGAGATAGTAAGAACTGCCGATGCTGGAGTCAGAAATAACACAGTATGAAGCTGGAAGAACACAGCAGGCCAGGCAGCATCAGACGAGCAGGAAAGCTGACATTTCGGGTCAGGACCCTTCTTCCGAAATGGGTTTTTCCTTTGGTCTTATGGCCATTTCTGAGGAAGGATCCTGACCCGAAATGTCAGCTTTCCTGCACCTCTTGATGCTGCCTGGCTTGCTGTGTTCCTCCAGCTCCACACTGTGTTATCATTATTGTGGAAAATGTGCCTGGAAATTTTTTAAGCCTAATCTAGCAGACTGACAGAGCTACCGGACCGGATGACCAATACCCAAGAGCTGTGGAGGTATTAGAAGCATTAATTTTAAACTTTATTCTTTAAATTCTGGAAGACCCCCCCAGCAGATTGGAAAATAGCAAGTGTAACACGTTTTTTGTTTGAAAATGGAAAGAGGCAATTTCATTGGCAGCGGCTGCATCGGTGAGGTGGGCATGAAACAAACTCATGATGGTGGTGGAGTAGAGGTTGGGCTGATGCAGTACTCAGCGGCACTGCTGGCTTCTGCATTAACGAGGTCCAGTGAGGACTCATAGTGCTGAGGGCATTGTTGAAGGCGAGATGGTGCTGAAGAATGGCGACTTTCATTCCAGTGATGGCACAGTAAAGCGCACTCATGCCTGGCCACCAGGCCCATGGCGGAGCACTTAACAAGAAGGATGGTAAAGTTGAACACATTTTTTTCTTTATTTTTTTCCTGTCTTTCATATTCTATGTTTTGGTGTATTTTTCCATGTTTTAAGATGGTGCTAGAGTGTGGTGACGTGACACAACACTTTTCACTGTATTTTGTAACAAAATATGTGACAATAAATAAATGAATTCAAATTTAAGTATGGAGCCACTTAACATCTGTCGTAGGGAAATGACTGGAATCCATTGTCAAGGAAGTTATATGTATCCTGCTATTTTGTGACAAGCTGGAGTTAGCATGGTTTTGTGAGTTGGAAGTCATGTTAACAAACTGTTAGTTAATTTGGAAGTAATAAGATGAGTGGAGAGAAACCTGTAGATATGATGCACTTGGATTTCCAAAAGGCATTTTGATGAGGTGCCACGTCAAAGGTTACAATACGGAATAAGGCAGATGGTGTAACTGAATAAATGATTCATTGTCTAATAGCTGCATTTATTGACCGAGTCACCATACAGTGACCACTCACATTGGAATGGCAGGTAACGGGAAGCTCAGGGTCATTTTAGGGGACAAAACCTAGGTGTTCTGCCAAGTGGTTGCTCGGTCTGCACTTTGTCTCTCTGATGTAGAGGAAGCCACATTGTGAGCTGTAAATACAGTGGACTAGATTGAGTGAAGTGTGGGTAAATCAGTGCTTCACCTGGAAAGTGTGTCTTGGGCCTTGGAGAGTGAGGAGGGAGGAAGTCAATGGGCAGATGTTATACCTTCTGCAATTTGAATATGGGAAGGTTCAGTAGGAATGTGGTGTGATGTTGGGAGTGGACCAGGATATCGCGGAGGGCATGGTCCCTGCAGAAGACTGACAAGGAAGGGAGAGGAATATATGTCAGCTGGTGGCATCCACTAGAGGTGGAGGAAATGGCAGCTAATGAATCTTTGCATGTGAATGCTGGGGGATAATAAGTGTGTAATGGAAGAAGTAGTGGAAGCTATGTCATTATGTCTAAATAAAAGCTGAAAGAACTGCATATGTTGTAAATCAGAAATCAAAACAGAAGTTGCTGGAAAAGCTTAGCAGGTCTGGCAGCATATATAAAAAGAAATCAGAGTTAACGTTTTAGGGTTGGTGACCCTTCCTCAGAAGTTTTGGACCCAAAACGTCAACTCTGATTTCTCTTCACAGATGCTGGTTTTTGTTGTCTAACTCTGCTTTGAAATTTAGACAGGAAAATGGAGTTGAGACCACAACTGGATAAGCCACCACCTTATTAAATGGCGGAACAAACTTCACCTGTTCCTGAACTTGTACTTGAGTCTGGGTCTCCGTCCAGCATAAGAAGCCAAAAAAATGTGGGTTGTCCTGGGATTCGTCTGAAATCTGCATTCACTGAACTTCTAAAAGGGTTCTATCTATTTCCAATCTAAGAATTCTGGATGGAATTTTTGTTTATGTTGTAGTGATATGTTCCTGTTTGCAACTTTATTTCAGCTGGAATTGTGTAGTGCTGCACATCTATAGAATAATTTTTAATCTTGTAATAAATTCTCCACTAAGCAACAAATTCAGTCTTTAACATTGTCCTATGCAAACCCAGAATTCATTTACAGTCAATTCACTTAAAGGTGTAAGTTTCAGGAATGTAACTTTTAACTGAGGATTCTCTGTATTCATCTGTGTTAATTTTAGCTTTTTACGATTACCATCATCCTCATCATCAAACATTGTCTTCCAGGGTCTATGGTTTAGTAAGTATAATAGAATTTAACCAGTTCTGTTTTGTTTTCCTTTTATTTATAGACATACATAGGTTCCATCTTGGTGTCAGTGAATCCGTACAAATCAATTTCTGGACTTTATGATAAAACAAGTGTGGAGCGATACAGAAGTTATGACTTGGGTGGTAGGACACCTCACATTTTTGCCATTGCAAATGAATGTTATCGCTGCCTTTGGAAACGTAACGACAATCAGTGTGTCCTCATAAGGTAAAATGCCACTATTTCAGTAATGAATGGAGTTGCCTTTTGTGTTATTGTTGAAAACAGTTGGATTTAAGTACATCAAGAATTACATGACCTGTTTGTGTGCATTCCAAAGACTTTGACACGGACACTTCCTTAAATGGTACTGTTAAATGAAATAGGAGTGTTCAGTAGCTAAATAGAGACTTGAATTGGAGTTCATAGAATGCTTTTGACAAGTTATTTTCGACGATACTACACATGATATTCTGTAATGTAGCAGGATTAATGACCTCAGTAGGGAGACTTGTAGGGATCAGTGATTGAATTTTACATCCAGCTTGAAAGGTAAATGAATGGGTCCAAGATGAGTAACATAAACTTATAAGGCAACTATGTGGATATGAAAACTGAAATGGCTGAATTGAACTGAGATATCAGGCTAGGGGATAGAACACTTGAGAAGCGGTGGCAGATGTTTAAAGAGCTATTTCAGAATACTCAGCATAAATACCTTTCTACTGCAAAGGAAAATACATAATCAGATAGTTTGAGCAAGTGAACAAAAATTGAGCAGATCATGTGTAATATGGGAAAACGTGAAGCAGTTCACTTTGATAAGAAGAACATAGAATATTAATTAAATGGAGATTGGCTGCAGAATTCTGAGACACAGAAGGATCTAGGTGTTGCAGTATTCAGTCTCAAAGTTTGTATACAGATATAGAAATGGATTTAAGAAGGCTAATGGAATGCTATTCATTATTATGAGTGGAATTGAACATAATAAATATAGATGTCATGCTTCTTCGGCTATGGGGTGCATTGATGAGACGACATCTCAAATGCAGTGTGCATTTTTGGCCTCTCTTTAAGGAATACTCTAAATGCATTAGATGTGGTTCAGAGGAGGTTTACTAAATTCCAGCATCCATAGTGTTTTGCTTTTATTTACTTTAATTGACAACCAGATTGAATGAGTTAAAAACCAAAAGAACTGCAGATGCTGTAAATCAAGAACAAAAACAGAAGTAGGTGGAAAAACTCAGCAGGTCTGGCAGCATCTGTGGAGAGAAAATCAGTTAACGTTTCGGGTCCGGTGACCCTTCCTCAGATTGAATGGGTTGTCTGCTGAAGTAAGGTTGGACGGACTGGGGTTGTTTTCACTGGACTTTAGAAAAGTGAAGGGTGATTTGATTGAATATATAAGATCCTGAATAGCCTTGACAAAGATATGCATGGAAAAGATATATTTTCTTTTGCATGTCAGTCCAGATCCAGAAGACACTGTTTTAACATTGGAGATTTCCTTTTAGGACAGAGATAATAGGATTTTCTTTTCTACTATGAAGGTTGTAACTTTGGAACTCACTGCCTAGAAGACAGAGGAGGCAGGGTCGTTGATTATTTGTAAAGATTATTGGTAGTCAAGAGAAATAAACTTAGCAGGAACGGATCAGAATGGAATTCAGACCACAAGCCCCTCATTCATGATCTCATTAAATAGCTGAGCATGTTTGAAGGGCCGAATGGAATCAGGAGCAGTAGGATTGTCTGAATTACAATAATCTGGAAATAGATTTATTTTTCTCCAAATCGGATACATATAGTGGTTAAATTTCAGAGAGGATCTTCGGGGTAATTAGGAGGAAACATTCTAATTTGGGAATTTAAATAATGTTGCTATAACACAAAAACAAAGCTTCAGCTATTATTATTGTTAGAGCCTCTAATCAGTTAATGCCTTGAATTCTACCCCTATCTTGATATATAATTCGTACTAATGTTTGTGTTTCAGTATCTGCGAGCAGTAAATGCTAGTGCAGATAGTGTCTGTGTTTCAAATCAAGGAGCAATCTGAATGGACCAGATTGCAGTATGTTATGCCTTAATGCAGGAATTTAATTCACTAGTAGATTGTCTTCAATAATTGCTTTGTTTGGGAGAAACAGTGTGATTTTACTGCCACTTTGACAAAGTTTTGACATGAATAATTTTTTTTTAAAAGCTACACTGAGAACATGATAGACTGGTTAACAAAGTTAGATCAAGGAATACAGGGAGAACTAGCCATTTGGATACATTTTCAACTATGTTAATATCACCATCTTCTAAATTGGCAAGAATGGAAGTTATTTAATTTAGTACTTCTGCCATGTCCTTTGCTTCATTGAGTAATTTGCCTGGCTTGTTCCTTATGTGCTCCACTCTGTCCTTCACTAATCTTTTTATAGCAATGTATTTGAAGTACTTTTTACGATTAGTTTTTGCACTGATTTGCCTTCCTTTCATTCTTGGACACTGGGTTCCTCTGCCTTTCCTTTTCAGCGGTGGTGATCTTTCACAAAATCCTCAGTTTCTTTCCACCACCGCCCTCTATTATAGAGTCATAGAGATGTAGTGCACAGAAACAGACTCTTCGATCCAACTCGTCCATGCCGACCAGATATTCTAAATTACTCTAGTTCCACTTGCCAGCAATTAGCCCATTAAACTGTATACCCTTCCTATTCATATACACATCTAGATGCCATTTAAATATATATTAATGATTTGGATGAGGGAACAAAATGTAAAATATCCAAGTTTGCAGATCATACCAAGTTGGGTGGAAGTGTGAACTGTGACGAGAATGCAGAGATCCTTCAGCATGATCTCGACAGGTTGGGTGAGTGGGCAAATCAATGGGACATGCAGTGTAATTTTGATAAGTGTGAGGTTATTCACTTCAAAAGCAAAAACAAAAAGGCAGATTACTACCTAAATGGCTGTAAATTGGGAGAGGCGAGTATGCAGCAGGACCTGGGTGTCCTTGTGCACCAGTCACTGAAGGTAAGTATGCAGGTGCAGCAGATGGCAAATGGTATGTTGGCATTCATTGAGAGAGATTTTGAGTACAGGAGCAGGGATGTGTTGTTGCAATTATGCAGGGCCTTGGTGAGACCACACTTGGAATATTGTGTGCGGTTTTGGCCTTCTTTTCTGAGGAAGGAAGCTCTTCCTCTCGAGGGAGAGCAGTGAAGGTTTACCAGGCTGATCCCAGGATTGGTGGTACTGACGTCTGAGGAGAGATTGACTAGGTTGGGATTGTTTTCACGGGAGTTCAGATGAATGAGGGGGGATCTCATAGAGACTTGTCTAGTCCTGTTAGAATTTTACAAGGTAGATGCAGGGTAGGTGTGTCCAGAACCGGGGTCACAGTCTGAGGATTCGGGATAGGCCATTTAGGAAAGAGATGAGGAGACATTTCTTCACCCAAAGAGTGGTGAGCCTGTAGAATTCATTATCAAAAGAAGGAGTTAATGCCAAAACATTGAAAGTATTCAAGAGGAGGCTAGATGTAGTATTTAGGGCAAATGGGATCAAAGGTTATAGGAGAGAAAGCAGGGTTAGGCTATTGAGTTGGACGATCAGCTGTGATCATGAAGAATGGCGGAGTAGGCTTGAAGGGCTGAATGCTTCCTCCAGCTCCTACCTTCTATGTTTTGATGTTTCTATAAGTGTTGTAATTTTACCAGCCTCCAACACTTTCTCTGGCAGTTCATTCCATATGTGCACCATCCTCTGTGTGGAAAAAGTCGCCCCTCAGGTCCCTTTTTTAAAATCTTTCCACTCTCACTTTAAACCTGTGAGTTCTAGTTTTGAACTCCCCTACCCTGGGGAAAAGATCTTGACTATTCACCCTATCCTTGCCCCTCATGATTTTATAAACTGATGTAAGGTCACCCCTCAGCCTCTGACACTCCAGGGAAAATAACCCCAGTCTATTCAGCCTCTCCCTATGGCTCAAACCTTCTGACCTTGACAACGTCCTTGTAAATCTTTTCTGAACCCTTCCAAGTTTCACAACATCCTTCCTACAGCAGAGAGACCAGAATTTGAACGCAATATTCCAAAAGTGGCCTAACCAATGTCCCATATAGCCACAACATGACCTCCCAACTCCTATACTCAATGCACTGACCAGTAAAGGCAAGCGTACCAAATGCCTCGGTAACTACCTGTCTACCTATGACTCCCTTTTCAAGGATCTATGAACCTGCACTGCTAGGTCTTTGTTTTGCAGCACTTCCCAGGACATTACCATTAAGTATATAAGTCCTACCCTAATATGCCTTACCAAAATGCAGCACGTCACATTTATCTAAATTAAACCCCATCTGCCCCTCCTTGGCCCATCGGACCATCTGATCAATGTCCCATTGTACTTTAAGGTAACCTTCAGTGTCCACTATACTGCCAATTTTGGTGTTATCTGCAAATTTATTAACCATACCTTCTATATTCACATCCAGATTATTTATGTAGATGACAAAAAGCTGTAGACCCAGCATTAATCCCTGCGACACACCGCTTGTCACAGGCCTCCGGTCTGAAAATTAGCCCTCCACCACCACCATCTGTCTCCTACCTTTGAGCCAATTTTGTATCCAAATGGCTATATGTAGCCTGATGTATATTCTTCCTTTTTGTTGGTTCTCTTACCACCTACTGCAGACACAGTCTAGCAGCTGTACCCTTTAGGACGTGACGAGCTCAATCAGTAGTGCTGCTACTGAGCGCCTCTTGGTGGTGGATATTGAAATCTCCACCTCAAGTACATTCTGCACCCTTGCCACTCTCTGTTGCTTCCTCCGGGTGTTGTTCAACATGGAGTACTGTTTCATCAGCTGAGGGAGGTCAGTATGTGGTAGTCAGCAGGCGTATTCCTTATCCATGTTTAACCTGAGGATTTCCAGGGTAAGTTGCTGACAACTGTATATCACTCTGCTGCTATCTTTTCAGTTTGTGCTGCTGATGGGACAGGGTCCCTTTTGGAGGGTAAGTTCTTCAACTAATTGATTTTCAAGTTAATTTATTTTTTTAAGACCATATAAATTACCATAGAGATAGTAAGAACTGTCGATGCTGGAGTCAGAGATAACACAGTGTGGAGATGGAGGATCTCAGCAGGCCAGGCAGTATCAGAGGAGCAGGAAAGTTGACGTTTCGGGCCGGGACCCTTCTTGCTCCTCTGATGCTGC